TTTTATTTGTACGAATCTGTTCTTTATACACGAAATTATTAAGTTCTTCTATTCCAACGTAACACGATGTCATGGCTACTTAAGAGATAAAAATTTATATTCCATTAAGGACTTCTTTATACATATTTTATTATCACTTATTTGACAAAAAAATAAATATTATTGGTATATTTTTGACACCTTCATGACATGGTGACAACTTACTATCATAATATGTTCATATTAATACCTAATAGGAATTGGTTTAGAATGGTTTAGTTGTCAATATGTAGATATCCGTAGATTTGCATGCCAATATCAGTAAAACATGAGTCGTCAGACTATTTATTTATGCATTGTACCATCACCTTTTGTAAGCAATATTTTAAGGAAATAAATAATTTTAATTTATTAATTCACAAGTATTATTTAAGGCGCGCGGTATTACTAATCAATACGGAGACAGCTAGTTTGGTGCACTCTACAAAATAGAGAAAACCTTAGTAAAAGGAATATCAGTTTAAGCCATTACAAAGCTAGGATCCTGCAACTCAACATTATAAAAATATTATCAGAGTACGCAAGTAAAAACGAAATATTTATTTAAGTTATTTTCAAATTCAAGTTCTCTACCAAATTTCGGTGGCCAAATTTTTGTTATGTAAGTGTTTTAGAATATTATAATGAGGTATAATTCAATATTCGAGTGTAGAATACTGAAATATTATTTAATATTTCATAATAATATACTCAAATATTTAAATCTGATAATGACCCATTTGTGAATAAAACAAACTTAAGAACACTCTCAATTTGATCTGAAAATGTTATTTACCATTCCCAAGCATTTATTTACATAGGTACCGACATTAAAAAGTGTCATTCATTTGCAAATATTTAATTATTTACCTGAGAGCAAGAATACAAAACACACTGAATGAGAAAACGTAATAGAGATTTGCGTATAATTTTTTAACGGTGCACGCGGTGTTAAGAGAAAGTTAAAGCTTATTGTAAACATAATTGAATGCTGATAAGCAATAACGTGTTAACCCACAAAAACTCGAAAATATAAATATTGATGCCAAGTGGTAGCATGTCGTCTTGTCTACATTTTGCAAAAATAAAATAAGTGTTACAAATGAGCCAGGGAATCACTTAATGGTAATGAAAATTGTACCTACGCTATGTACACCAAATGTGATTTTTATGAATAAATATTATTATTTAAAAAAAAAGGTATCAAGAGAGTCAATACATTGTTGGAAAAATCACATTTTACTCGTTCCCTTCAGCATAAATTTCACGGAGGTTAATATATTTGAAAATAAATATATTTCATTAACGTTGGTCAATCCGTAAATCTATCATTAATGAATGAACTTTATAAGCGAATGAAAATTATAAGTGAGTAAACATTTTAGGTGAATAAACATTATAAGTGAATGAACATTACAAGTACACTATGTACCTTGCTTATAATCCTGCACATTTGTGAGGTTTAGGTTTCCGGTGAAAATTATAAGCCAATCGCGAAATAAAAAGTTTTTGTTAGGAATCGATTTAGGTAAGTCTGTTTGTACATTGGAAAAATTTTGCTTAAATACAACCTTGTGATAGCCTCGCCTGAGAGAAGACCCGTGCCCAGCAGTAGGATATATATTTATATATGGGTTGATGATAAAAGAAGGAAAGAAGTATAATTTCTTCCTAAGCCGAAAGATTTAACATGTATGTGTATAGATGTGGACCCACTGTATTAAATATAGCATTGGACAATCGATCTTACTCCGTGCAATGTTCAGCACGAAACAGGCATCATCTAGATTCTCCGCAGGTACAAAGATAACTGATGTATATTTACATAGCGGGTTCCTAACCCAATTGGGGCAATTTAAATTTGTTACCTAAAAATTCTATCTATATTTTTTTCAATGTTAGGTTAGGTTATTGGCGTAATACCACAGAAGGAATTCTAAATTTATTAATATATGAGTTCAACAAAAGCGGTACATAGAGGCAAAAACGTTTATTTGTTACAGTCATATGACATGAATATAGATTTTAAGACTTTCGTGGTTATTCATTATAACTATATACTATAATATTATATTATAAATATTATATACTATAATATCATACAACATTTTTCTTACAATTATTAAAAAATATTGTTACTGGATAATATATTATGCATTACGCGAAAAATAGCAATGGCAAAATCGTAGTCAAAAGAATCCGCTAGCGTGTTTAAATGTCTTAATTACAAATTTGAATAAAATTAATTCAGTAGGTTTTTCAAATTATTATAGCGGCCTATCTAAATCTGGAAATAAAATCATATTTAAAAGAAAGTCTAATGACTAATTATTATTTAACCGGACTGATATCTACAAGTATCAGTTACTTAGTTTCTTAACGTTGAGCGACATCTAGCCATCAAACAAGGAATTTCAGTACCTACGTATGGATATGGTCCACATTTAGTTCACGTAATATCAAATGTACTGATTCGACCCACTCACAAACTCACGGCACTATTCAGCTTCTATTAATTCCGTTTAAGGCTTCTGTACTTTATTTTGATACAACAATACACGGAATATATTTTATACAATTACGTAACACATAACCTCTAAACTTCGAACTGGAATATCTTTAATTCCTGACTTCTCAGAATAGTAAACCCAAAACAAAATTTGTTTAGGAGTTTAAATTCTATATTTTCAATTATGTCAACAAAAATTTATGTGGTAGTTTGTCGTTGTCCTTTACATTAATTTTAATTTATGTAAAGGACAACGCAGCACTGATAAATAAGTAAGGTTTATTGCAGCAACTTAGAGTGGTAGAATACAAAAATATGCCTGTAGTTGATTGACAGCTAGATCGACTCACAAGACGGAAACCGTTCGCCGGGTGACACCTTACAGAAGGGTTATTTCAACCAACTGTCTCACGAAGGCGGTAACAGTGGAGGTAGCGGCAGCTAGTAGATCTCTATTCTGACAATATCCTTTTTTGATTTTTACATTGACACTGAGTAGTTGTCCGTCGATGGCCTTAACTGCACCACCGCACAAAAGGGCGAGTTGAAAGCTCCTTGTGACGAAGCGAACTCTTTGAAACACCTACTTTAAAATTTCGAATCGTTCTTAAATTCCTTTTCTTCTTCGTCACTTACATTTCTTCTTTCCATCGCCAGTCTCTATTAAATTTCCAAAGGGAGCTCACATGCTCGACTTCACATAAAATTCAGACCAGTTCAATCATGTAACCTAACTGCTTGTCAAGTATTATTTTTGTAGTACCATTGAAACTAATATAACCGAACTGCTTATAAAGCATAGTATTTCTAGAAATTATAGGCCCTTTTGGGGTAAGTTCCATTATTAGTATAACCTTCATTTAATTTAAGTGTGGGGTGTTTTTATACGATTGTACCTGTTTTTATATCATTATGTTACGTTAGTTTTTACGCTTTTACTTTACCTGTTTTTTGTCTTTTCTTGTACCTTCTCTTTCTTTATTTCTACAATAAAATTCATGTGGACCGAGCCTTCTACTTAATTACGCGAGGCCCACGTGACATCGTATTTATTACTACGTTTATATTTGAGAAGACTTCGAGATCATAAACGGAAACAAATAACAGTCACTGTCAAATTGACATTTTTTATTTATTTATATAATGTTATATTTTAAAACCTCTCAAAACAAAATATACCTGTATATAATAGAAGCGGTTTTCGCACCGTACACCGCTCATTCAATTTATTATACAAAATTTTATGAATAGTGTGTGTTTGTATTGTGCGTGTTGACATTCCTCGTAGTGTGCGTGAGAGTCGGAATATAAAGGATTACTAAACTTATGTCAGACCCTTGCATGTACACCCACATTATTTTAATATTAAATTTGGAGTTAGTGTGTATATAGCTAGTTAATGGATATAATAATTTATTTCATGTTACTATTAATTTTATATTTTATTTTTTTTAAAAGTACTTTTTTCATTTAGGTTTTATGTTTTTCCAATTTAACGATATTTTTATTTCTTTGGGAATTTCGTTTATTAGATAGGGTATTAAATATTTTAATTTATTTTTACCATAATGACTTCGATAAGACGGTATCACCGATTGATTATTGTAGACATTTCGCGTCTTTATTGAACAACTTTAAGTAGATTGTAAACTTTTATCAAAAAGTGCTTGTCTAGCAACATATATTTTAATTTTTCAAATACTGAGAGCATTTTACAGTGGTGGAACAACCGCAGTAATTGTCTTTGTACTTTAATTTTGGCAGGTTACTATAGTTTTTAGTATTGTTATTCGTATTCCGTAAATATTGAGGTGTCCGTCACAAGTTACGTTGTAGCTGGTAAGTCCATTTCCAATAATTGATTCCCCGAGTGGTATATACGGTTTTTAGAGATAGATAAGGTATTTAATTTTTTTTATTACGGTAAATTTTGCAAGAATATCTTTTAGTTTATTACAAAACTGTAACGAGATTTTTTCTGTCCATTTCATACTATTATCTATAATAATTATCCAAAACGTAAACAAAGAAATGTCATTGCCAATGTGAGTGCAGATGTGCTAAAACTTCTATTTTTAACAGATTTTCTAAAATTTTAATAATATATATATAATGGAAATTAAAATAGCTTCGTAAGAAACTAACTTCGTAAATCAAGTAATTCAGTACGAATGAAACTTTTTTGAGAAAATAAGTCATTTTATAGTAATAAAATTATTTACGTTAAAAAAGATGTATATATTTTTATTGTACTCGTAGTTAGATGTTGGTATTAAAGGCTTGGACGAAATTACAAATTATTATCAAAAAATTGTTGCATTGTGGAAAGGTCAACTACTTATACCTACTTAGGTAATATATTCATTTTTGTTGTACATGTAAGCATTTGTATTGATTTTTATTAAATTTCTGTGAAAGACTATTCATCTATAACATCATTTAAAAAACGCCATTTGCAGGTTCACTTGCTTGAAGTTACATAATGGATACTAAATTGATTCAAGTGTTGTTATATTACGTTGTATTGGTGGTTTGTCAAAATAACGTCAACAGTGTTCGTAAGTTATGGTTTTATTCCCTAATTAGCTATGGTGTCCATGTATATAATGAATAAGTGTACTGTCTTCTGTAGTTTTCTAATATATTACTAAATAAAGTGTATCTATAAGAGTACGGTTGTAAGTTACAGCCTGTAATTTAGTTTTATAATTGCAAATTACTACTAATACAAACTCATCACACACATCAAGCCTTATACATAGTGTCTTTTTTTAAACAGCAATTTTGGACATGACAATGAGTAAAATTAATGTCTTAAGAAAAACATGTTTAAAGGTGTGGTTCACTGTATGCGCTTCGAAAAAGTTTTCTATATTAATAAATACTAGTTGGTTTCCTTAATAATACAAATTATATTTTAATATTCACTGACATCATGTTCATGTGTACGCAGGTAGTGTAACTATAGTCACTGTTTTGCAGAGAAACGGCGTGTTTTATCTCACCAACATAATTAATATATTTATATTCAATATTTAATAATGACCACATTTTTATCCCGCCAATATCACGTTATGCTCGATTCTTCGTTAGCGCTACCTCTGTTCACTTGAAAGGCCTCACGAATCGTCTTCATGATTCGTCGTTTCAGACTGATCGTACCAACGAATCGATAGCGTAAGTTTATGTCGTTAACGATTAACTTGAACACCAGTATTGATGGATTGGTACAATTATGGTGACGATCGATCAAAAGGAGGAGTCGTCTGTATTTGGGGGCCTTTACATCATTCACATCTAATTCAACCCGCACGAAGGCACTAAGACAGACAGTATTCTACGGGGCTCTATACTTGACATAATCCTTAAGCACACAAGATGTATTCAGTCACATTGAATCTAAATTTCTGACATTTGCTGGTTACTACCTGAATACGGTCACCACCTGAAGCATTAGCGGGCTTTACAAAGGCACTCTATCGCGCGTGATACAGAAATCGTGCGCGATTGAGCGCGCGTGTAAAGACTTTGGGAGGAAAAGCGCTATTGCGCACTCCAACACGAGCCAGTTTCGCGTGGTCTATCCTGCGCTATAGCCTTTACACGGGCGCTTTTTCCGTTGTAACAAAAATGAACACGAGCAATCGCGCGCGAAAGAACGGCAGCTTAAAACATTTCAAAAAGGTAATCGCGCACGATTGCGCATTCAGGCTTTCCCGCGCGCAATGTTGTACGCTCCTGTCACTCGCGGTACTAACTGTGTAAAACTATTATCGAATAAATAAAAAAAATGTGTATGAAAAAATACTCAACACAAGAGCAGCTATTTTTCATTCCCACCTGATCCCTTAAAAACCGATCCCCTTCCGTTTTATTTTAAATTATTTTCTTTTCCCATCCCCAATGCAGTGGATCAAGAATAAATATTAATATTTTATTCCCACCTGGACCCTGGTATTTCTAAGTTTATTTTTGGTAGGTACTGTGGTACAAAATGTGTTTATCTCATCAAGAAAATGTATATCATTATATGTGATAATTATAACATTACACTGATTTATGTTAGTAATGATTTGCAATATGCCAATATCAATGACTTGTCACAAAAAAAAATTAATTGTCTGTGATAATTGTAACATTTGATCATTCCTCAGTAAATGAATATTTGATTTCAAATCTTCTTTTTCTCTTGACTTTATTTATCTTACAAATACGATGAGGGGATCCACCAAATAATTAATAAATTTGCAGTTGCAAAATATAGAGGGGATTACTTGCAATTTTAAATTGGAAGTGGATCAGTTTTGGGGATCCGACGGGAATAAATCGATTTAACCATCACATGGGCTCGCAAATAAGCAAATTATATTTACTCTTTTTCATCCACAGTTTGCTTTCGGAAGGTGACCGACTGAATTGTTGGTGTAATTTATACAATATCAATAATAAATATTAAAACTTAATTCCAGAAGAAAAAGAAATAACAATTAACGAGATTGGGTACAAACATCATCAAGAAAGAGTTGTTGTTAATTCCAAAAAATATCCTTACGAATCTTTTCTTCGAGATGAACAAACACTCGAAGATGTTTACAAAGAATATGTTTCTTGGAATGACGCGCCGATGAAATACGAGAATGGGTTTACAAACAACTTAGAAATATCAAAGGACAAACAAAAACGATTCATGGAAAAAACAATAAGCGAATATAATATTGCAAATGAAAGAAATAAATTGATAAATGATGTAGAACGAGGGTTTATTAGAACAGGAGGTCTTAGAGGTCAGGAGGACAGACATTAATTGTTTTCTACAATATTAGTTTAAATCATACTAAAATCCACAATTATTTTATATTCGGATGTTATTTTCATGTATAAAGAAAATTTTTATTATTAAATATTTTAATTTTAAAATAATGTTGTACAAAATAAATTTAATGTGGGTTACACCACTATACCGCTGATAGCCTCAATTTAATTAAAATTTAATAACACATACAGTTTTATTTTATATCTAAGATCTAAATTAAAATTGTGGTGAACTCATTTACATTCAAAATAGTAATTAAGAATTGCGTTACATTGGATAGGTACTTACTAAAAATAAGAAAATTCCTAGTTGAAATCTGTGGTCAGCTTAAATGATTCACATTCAATGTAGGCGCTATAACTCACATAGTTTTATAAGAAAACCATGTTTTATGTTACGTATTACATAATTAACCAAGTAAGATTTACCCTATTTGCTATTATAATGACGTCTACATATCCAGTCTTAGTCATTATTTTGATTGATAAATTAATCTATTTATTCAGCGTAAACCTATGCATCCAACAAGACTTAAAATTAAATTTACAGATAAAGTAAAACTTAAATATATCATACAAGATACAAAATAGTACTTAAAAACTAAACAAAAGAAAGAAAGAGACAAATACAGGTCAGTTTATAAAATTGACTACAATCTAACACTTATCTTAGAGTATCTTAAATTTACATCAATTCCGCTGATCTGATCTGGCAAAAATAGATCAAGGTTTTGTAAAAGGGAAGTTCCATTTTATGGCGTAATAGTAAACAATAATGAGCAGGTATCTTTAATACCCGTCTTATTTCCAGAGTCCCCAGACCGACCATTCCGGAAACAATTAAAAATGGATACAGAAACGAATAGCACCAATAACGCCTCTTATACAGGTAGCGAATTTCCGTTGGATGCGCTCAATTGGTAACCTATGCTTTTTTCACGAGGATCCCGAACAATGAAATACATCTTTTTAATGAAATAGCTTAAAGAAGTCACTCATGTAGTTTTACGTGATGTTTTATATTACATATTACAAAATTAATCATGTAAGGTCGACCCTGTTTACATAATGATGACTTAGTTGTTTAATTTGTTCTTTTGATTTATAAATTATAATATTAATGTAATTTATGAAGGAAACATTCTCGTAGACTTACAGCGTAAGCCAAAGCCTGCAAGCTCCATTACTTTCCATCAGGTGAGATGGAGAGCAAATGCGCACTTACATTTTACAAAAAATATAAATAAAATAACACCGGACTGAAAATTAAATTTAAGATAAAGTAAAATGAAAATATTACACACTCGGTGCAAAATAGTACTTAAAAAATAAGAAAGGAGACAAATACAGACCGCTTCACAAAACTGTCTACAATCTAACATTTATCTTAAAATATCTTACATTTACAAAACCTCCAGGATCTGAACCAGAAACTCGTTGACTAATACTCATCGGCTGCTTCAGAGCAAAACCTAGTAAGGTATAATTTTTTTAAATATATTTTTTTAACGGTATAATACTCCATAGGAATATCTCACCAAATTGCAGCAACAGCTTCTTCAAAATCCTACAATTTACCAGAGATTTAGAAACCTTAAAACCTAGTATAGCATATGTAGTCAACTTTGTGATCAACGTCAACGTCAAGCTTGGCGTGCTCTTGACCCCGTACTAATCCATAGGATCAATGATGAGGATAAAATTTCTGCAATAAACATTGGGTTACAATTAAAGATGTCCATAAATAATTTTTAATACTTAAGAACTCTAATTTACATTACCTTGACTGTTTATTTTTAAGAAGTAAAAAAATACGTCATATTTTTTTAAATAAAACCTTCCGTCGGAGAAGGATCGAAATAACATAATATTTTTAACCGACTTCAATAAAGGAGGAGGTTCTCAATTCGACTGCATGTTCTTTTTTTTTTTGTATGTATGTTACGCGATAACTTCGGTATTTGTGAACCGATTTTCATGATTCTTTTTTTGTTGGAAAGGGGGTACTTCCATAGTGGTCCCATTTTATTTTGAAAAAAATCATCCACCTCAAAGGGTGGCTGTTCACGCATGAAGATTCATTTTTATAAATAGCGCCTAACTTTAATTTAGGAGCAATTACTTTTAGCAATTATTTAGTTGATTTTGCTATTTCTCCAATTCAAGGTGTTTTTCCCTCGATATACTTTGAGTAGTGTCGTAGTGAGAACCTATTTTTATTATCTCCAGTATCAAGTCCTGTATAGTGGCGAACTAGGGGATATTTCAATGAAACTTAGCAAATAGATGCAATTCGATGTACTTTTGAGGTCGGTTTTTTTAGTACTCTGTACTGAGATTATATCAGGCTTGTATACCGGCTCATAATAGCAGAGTAATACTGAGGGTTTAGGTAGGGCTGTCAAAGGCAAACTTGATTTGTGTATTCGGGTATTCCTGTAAAATTTTGTCTAACGCACTTACTAGGATTTGCTCTGGGGCAATCGCGATTGGTTCTGGTGGTGGGTGCGTTACAGGCGTGGTGTGCATTGCAGGCGTTTTCCATTGGACTCTTTGACGTAAAAAAAATAAATGATGAGCGGTGTCTTTAATACCCTTCTTAGTTCCAGAGCCTCAAGACCGACCAGTTGAGAAAGAAATAAAAATTGATGCAGAAACGGATGGCAACGATAACGCCACTTATTCAGGTACCTAGCGAATTTACGTTGGACGCGCTCAATTAGTAATCTCAGGGTCGTATTCCAGAACTCTACTCAATACTCAAGTCAGGACTTGAGTATTGCAGTGAGCACTGAAAATCATACTCAAGTCCTTGCCATTAGGGTCGTATTTCCAGTGCTTGAAATCATACTCAAGTCTGCTCAAATCCTGACTTGAGCATTGAATAGAGTTCTGGAATAGGACTCTCAGTAACCTATACTCAAAACATTAACTATTCACAAATATCAATTTGGTAACCTATACTTTTAAATTTACGCTACGTAGGCACTACAACTCACACAGTTTTATAGTAAAAGCCACTATATTATATATTATGTATTACATAATTTATTCATCATATACGATCGACCCTGTTTACTATATAATGATATCTAGTCTTAATTGTTGAATTTGGTGTTTTGGCTTATAAATTTATTTATTTATAGATAAAAGAAACATCCTCACGGACTTACAACGTAAGCCAAATGCGTCCAGGATGACTTAAAATTTAATTTAATGATGAAGTAAAATTTAGTACAAATTTTACAATGGCATGTGCCTGATTGGAGCGATCCTATTTAATTCAATCGATCAACTGAACTAGATCAGTATTCTAGTTCGATTAGTTCGTTAGTTCGTTTTGACCTTGCTCGGACATTGAACGAAAGCTCCAAAATAGTTATATTATTCACATGAACTTCTAGGGACTTCTAGTATTATGAGGTCAATAGTACACTGTACTAAATAATTAAAAATACAATTTTGAAATCAGTACTATTGAAATCGGTAATTTTCCTTCATACTTTACAGGTTTAAGACGGTCATTATAACTAAATATTCTTTTTTTTTACAAAACTTTAATTGAATAACGTTATTTTAGTTAGGATGATGTATTTAAAAATCAATATTTTCAACGATTTCATATGCACGTAGGTTGATATTATACCTACAGATAAAATACATACCCACAAAAAATATGAATATTTACTTTTTTAAATGCTTGCATAATTAAAACTAGCCCGCAACGTTCAGTCGTGCATTTCACTCAACCATATGCTACAAGCAGTGAAAGCTCGCTAATTGTTCTGCTCACACCGTGCCCACTGAATAAGAGACAGATGAACTATCAAGACCACCTCGCGTCTTTGACGCCGCAACCCAGGCATTTCTCCTGTTTCGTACAACTAAAAAAAAACTATTAAGACCTAGCAAGACGAACTAGTTCATGTCGGTTAGTGTCAGGAATACATTCATAATAAGTTCTAAGTTCATGAACGACTCAAGCCTACAAAATAGTACTTAAAAAGTAAACAAAAATAAGAAAGGAGACAAATACAGATCACTTTACAAAACTGCCTACAGTCTTATATTTATCTTAAAATATCTTAAATTTACAAAACCTCCAGGATCAGAAACTCGTTGACAATACTCATCGGCTGCCTCAGAACAAAACCTAGTAAGATATAATTTTTTTAAATATAATTTTTTTAACGGAATAATACTCTATAGTAATATGTCACCAAATAGCAGCAACAGCTTCTTCAAAATCCTACAATTTACCAGAGATTTAGAAACCTTAAAACCTAGTGTAGCATACTAGTCTGCTTTGTGATCAGTGAAAAATAAGTTACTTTAACCAACTCAAAACATTGTTAGTATTTGAGACTTGATAGATTTTAAAGTTGTTAAAGCGACTTACTACGTATTTGAATTGACAAATGGTGCGCGGGAGATGTGATGCGGCGACGGATCTCAAGATGTTTTACAAAACAATAAATATATACAGGGTGGAAACTCTAAAAAAACTGGACAACTCCTTTATAAATGCCTAAGATAGCTAATTTTATTTATAGGAAACTTTCTTATATTTTTCTTAACATGGATAACTGTATTCGCAGATTATTTGAAAAGTTAGCCTGAGCCGGGAATCGAATCAATTAAAATTCCAAAATAAAGACACACTATTTTATTGTACAGTCAAGATCACATCATGATTGACACTTCGTACTTTGGACCGTGCTTATCGTAAGCGGCATAGAGTTGGATTTAAGTCTTAAGTGTGAAGCTTGACGTGCTCTTGACCCTGTACTAATCCATAGGATCAATGGTAAGGATAAATTTTCTCCAATAAACATTAGGTTACAATTAAAGATGTCCATAAATAATTTTTAATACTTAACAACTCTAATTTACATTACCTTGACTGTTTATTTTTAAGGAGTAAAAAAAGTCATATTTTTTTAATAAAACCTTCTGTCGTAGAAGGATCGAAATAACATAATACTTCAACAGGCCTGTATACCGGCTCATAACAGCAGAGGTAATAGTGAGGGTTTAGGTAGGGTTATCAAAGGCAAACTTGATTTGTGTTTTGGGTTCTCGTGTAAAATTTTGTCTAACGCACTTACTAGGATTTGCTCTGGGGCAGTCGCAATGGTTGTGGTGGGGTGAGTTGCAGGCGTGGTGAGTGTATTGCAGGCGTGCTGGGGTTCAAGTTTTTTTATGACGGAAATTCCACTCTATGACGTAAAAATACACAATGATGAGCGGTGTCTTTAATACTCGTCTTAGTTCCAGAGTCTCAAGACCGACCAGTTGAGAAGGAAACAAAAATTGATGCAGAAACGGATGGCAACGATAACGCCACTTATACAGGTACCTAGCGAATTTACATTGGACGCGCTCAATTAATAATCTTAGTGAATGCTTAGTACTCAAAATATTATTTATACACAAATATCAAATTAGTAACCTAACCTATACTCAAATATCAATTTAGTGACCTACACTTTTAATTTTACGCTACGTAGGCACTACAACTCACACAGTTTTATAGTGAAAGCCACATATTTTATATTATGTATTATATTATACGATCGACCCTGTTTACTATGTAATGATATCTAGTCTTAATTTATGAATTTGTTGTTTTGGCTTATAAATTTATTTATTTATAGATAAAAGAAACATCCTCATGGACTTACAGCGTAAGCCAAATGCGTCCAGGATGACTTAAAATTTAATTTAATGATGAAGTACAATTTAGTACAAATTTTACAATGGCATGTGCCTGATTGGAGCGATCCTATTTAATACAATCGATCAACTGACCTAGATCAGTCTTCTAGTCCGTATATCGCTCTTAGCGATAAGACCGCCTTTGCCCACATTAGTTTTAAGTTGTCTATGTACTGTTTTTGTTATTGTATGTGAGCAATAAAGTGTATATCTATCTATCTATCTATCTATCTAGTCCGATTAGTTCGTTAGTTCGTTTTGACCTTGCTCGGACATTAAACGAACGCTCCAAAATAGTTCTTTTATTCACATGAACTTCTAGGGACTAGTATTATGAGGTCAATAGTACCCTGTACTAAATGTTTAAAAATACAATTTTGCGTGGAATCGGTACTATTTGATTTTCCTTCATACTTTACAGGTTTAAGACTGTCATTGTAACAAAATATTCTTTATTTTTTACAAAACTTTAATTGAATAACGTATATTTTAGTTAGAATGATGTATTTAAAAATCAATATTTTCAACGATTTCATATGCACGTAGGTTGATATTATACATACAGATAAAAGATATATCTACAAAAAATATGAATTTTTGAAATTTGATATGATATGAAATTTAGTTAAAAAGTATGGAAATTTACTCTCTTAAAAGTTTGCACAATTAAAACGAGCTGGCAACGTTCAGTCGTGCATTTCACTCGACCATGAGCTACAAGCAGTGAAAGCTCGCTAATAATCCTGCTCACACCGTGCCCACTGAATAAGAGACAGATGAACTATCAAGATCACCTCGCGACTTTGACTTCGCAACTCAGATAGTTTTCCTATTTCATACAACTAAAAAGACTAACTAACTATGAAGACCATGCAAGAGGAACTAGTTCATGTAGTTTAGTGTCAGGAATACATTCCTAATAGTTCATGAACGACTCAAGCCTAAAAAATAGTACTTAAAAACTATATAAAAGTAAGAAATACGATGGTTCTGGTTTGCTGTTGCAGGCGTGCTGGGTACGGGAGTGTGTTCCAAATGCCAGGGTAAATAACTTGAGTATGCGTCGCGTGCAAGGGCCTGCCACGCTTGCATACTAATCCGGCACAAATGGACCAAGTTTTTCTACTAAGAAAGTTCCACTTTATGGTGTAAAAGTAAGCAATAATGGGCAGTGACTTTAACACTCGTCTTAATTTCAGAGTCTCCAGATCAAACATTCCAGGAACATATAAAGAATGATACAGAAACGGATAGCAACGATAGCGCCAATCATACAGGTACCTAGCGACTTTGCGTTGGCCGCGTTCAATTTGTAACCTAATTCTTTTTCATGAAGATCCCATACAATCAAATACTAGTTTTTTATTAAATAACTCAAAGGATTCACTCATGTAATTTGTAATTTTACGTTATCTAGGCACTACAACTCACACACAGTTTTGTAGTAAAAGCCACATGTTTTATGTCATCATCATCTAATGTCCCTGTCGGAAATCGACCCTGTTTACTGTATAATGATGACTACATAAACCAGTCTTAATTGTTCAATTGGGTGTTTTCGTTTGTAAATTATAATGTACTTATTTATGAAGGAAACATTCTCGTGGACTTACAGATAAGCCAAAGCGTACAACAAGACTTAAAATTAAACTTAATGATAAAATCAAATTTAAATATAATACACAAAGTACAAAATAGTGTATAAGACTAAATAAAAGTAAGAAAGGAGACAAATATATAATAATAATATTAATAATGATAGTGATAGTGACAGTGACAGTGACAGTGACAGTGACAGTAACAGTGCTAGTGCCAGTGACAGTGATAGTGACAGTGATAATGATAATTATAATAATAATACTACCTTATTTCGGACCAAAAACAATTATCCATAGTTTGTTTGTAAAGAAGTTGGTATGAAAATGGTATGGTAAGAAAGGTTACTATGCTATTCAAATGTTAAATTAAAATAAAATAAGATAATATTACAATAAATTACATTTATAAAGTCGTTGAAAGACCAAGTACAAAGATACGACGCAAGCACATAAAAAAATTCGTGAGGTCCGTTGGTTCGTTCCGTGGCTTAGTTGGTATAGCGTCTGGCACGCTATGCAAGAAGACGTCGCGTCGGTTCGAATCCGACCGGATCGAAGGAATTTTTTCTGAGTGTTTTTTCTGAGTGTTCGATCTTTGTATTAATAATTATAACAAACTAGTGGAGTAATTTCACAAAAAATAATTGAATATCAATTCAATAAAAATTTAATTAATACAGTGAATAGCGACATCTCTCGCCAGGACTGGTAGCTGTAAAGGTACTAACTGGGTGATAAATCTGTCATAGATTTCTCATAGATGGCGCTACGACTAAAAAGTCGTTGAAAGACCAAGTACAAAGATACGACGCAAGCACATAGAAAAATTCGTGAGGTCCGTTGGTTCGTTCCGTGGCTTAGTTGGTATAGCGTCTGGCACGGCATGCAAGAAGACGTCGGTTCGAATCCGACCGGATCGAAGGAATTTTTTCTGAGTGTTTTTTCTGAGTATTCGATCTTTGTATTAATAATTATAACAAACTAGTGGAGTAATTTCACAAAAAATAATTGAATATCAATTCAATAAAAATTTAATTATTTACCGAGAAGTTATTAAAACTTTTTGATACCGGTTTGAAAGAAGACTTTTCTTTCTTTGACCCAATATCTGTCATGGACTTAGAAGAAATTTTGTTGTCAATCTTCAATTTCGACAACTTGAAATTATATTTCTTCAAAATATCCTGGCCCAAGATAAGATATTCCTTATCACCTTGCTCAACCAGCAACCTTGATGGACATTCTTTTCTATTAATTGTCAACGACACGTTGGTGGACGACTGCACTTTTATTGGCGTTCCGCCCACTGTACACAATGGAAAACTTGGAGTATCATCAATCTGCAAATGTAACCTTTCTGCAAAATAACGAGAGATTATTGAAACCGAAGCACTAGTATCCACCAACGCCTCGCAACTTACATCATTAATAAAAACAGATATAAAAGGTGCCCTATCATCAACTGCCTCCGTGGCCTAACGGTTACCATGCCGGACCGCCACGCATAGGTCCCAGGTTCGATTCTCGGGCCGGGACAAATATTTGTATGGCCTACATTTGTTTCTCTCGTGAGTTTGGATGTAATTTGTGGTTGTCTATGTGTGTGTCCATGGCACCCGCGACACAGGGTTTCCCTAATGCGGGGCTATGTTGAGTGTGTGCGTTACTATTATTAAATTCAATTATTATTAAATAAATATCTACACTAATACTATCAATTGTATACAAATTTCCTAAATGTTCAACTGCGCTTTGCTGACATTCAGGTTTAGGAGATCTCGACGGAGATCCTCTACCATGTGCCCGTGAATACACTTGACGTGGCGTATCCTGCTGCACAAGTGGTGCTGGTGGCACTTGATATTCGGACTGTTTAGACTCGGGTCTAACTATCGGTGCAGAGTCATCCTGTGTTTGCCAACAGTGAGAGTGTTCCTTACGAAAATATACTGTTAATTCAATATTTTGTCGACCCACATCGTAACCGTGATTAAATATTATATTCTACTTGCATAATTGTTTTTCTCAACTCCTCTTTCGACAAATACAAATTACTAGCCAGCATCCATTGAAAATTGGGTATCAAAGATTTCAAGAAATGTCTAATAAACTGAACATCTTGAATATTCGCTTTCGTCGCTAACTTATCTAAACTATAAAAATAACTTGCCAGCGATTCGTTAGGCCCCTGTCGCCTATAATAAAACTCTCGGGCGTAACTATCTGTGAGGAAAATTCCTCTTTTAGCTTCTGTGCAACTGCACATATGTAATACACGACGTATGATGTAACTACATCATACGTCGCGTATGAAGAAAAATACGTTTTGTACCATTGTAGTGCTGGCCCCTCCAAATACAATGCTGTTTGCGTATCTCTTATGCACATCAGACCAATTATTTAATACGCTGATGGCCTTAAATTGATTCAAAAACTCGTCTACGTCGTTGAATCCATGAAATCTTTGTGCCGGTATACAATACATATTCTCTTCTTGCACTTTTCACTGGTATCAATTATAAAACAATATTAAATATAAAAATATAAACTACGACCTTATGTACGCTTTCCTGGAGGTTTTTCGTAAAAACATATAAAATTTTTTCACAACGGAGTTTTCTTCATTGGAATTTTTCCATTTTGTAGGCTTGCCTCCACCATTTGTAGCCCAGAGGGTAGCTCAGGTTGCGTAGCGAGAGGTACTTTATAAATATAAACTGGGATAATCTTCGTAACTAGATATTTATTGTATTTTTTTACATGTTCACTTATGGAGGCTACTTCTAGATCTGCCAAGATGTTCTTTTCTCTATCCTATTTTTTGAAATACATTCTAAATACAAATCTATATTAATTCAGCCAATACTTCTACGCATAGACTACACTACTATGGCTCATGGGGTCTCATTTGCTATTGTTTTTATTGTTCTTTGTTTCAGCATGTTGCTAATCCAGCTAATTAGCATTTCACCTACTTTGTGTCTTCTCAGTGCTGATTGTATGCTGGAGAAGTTGGTTTTATCGAAGGCTCCTTCAATATCTATACAGGTGCCTAGGCAGATTGCTTTGTGTTTGAGGGTCACTTCTATCATGCCCACAACGGCATGTAGGGCCGATTCAGTGGATTTGCCTTGGCTGTATGCATGTTGGTTTCCGTGTAATGGTATGATCTTAAGCGCTCCATCCCTCAGTTCTCTGTCACATAACCTTTCTAATGTCTTCAAGAAGAACGATGTGAGGTTGATTGGTCTGAAGGACTTCGCGTCAGTGTAGTGGGGTTTTCCTGGTTTCGGTATAAATATGACTTTTACCTCTCGCCAGCTATGGGGCACATAGCTGAAAGAAAGAATGAAAGATGAATGAAAGATGTTGACCAGGTGCTGGACCAGTGTGTCCCCGCCCTATTGTAGGAGTGCAAGGAATACTCCATCTTGGCCCGGAGCTTTGTACGGTTCAAAGATGTTTACTGCCCATTTTGTCTTTTCGTATGTTACTACTTGGTTAGCGTATCGCCAGTTATGGATCGATGTGATGTAGTTCATTTCTTCGCACCTGTAGTCTTGGACGACCCTAGATCCTGGGAAATGTACTTCCAGTAGGGATCTTTCCGTTTCCGCAGGGGAAGTTGTGTATGTGTTGTCTATTTTGCATGTTGAACCTAGCTCAGTTGAATTTGAGTTGAATTTAACGTTGAATTTAAATTGTAATGTTTTTTTTTTTTTTAAATATAATAACGCACACACTCAACATAGCCCCGCACTAGGGAAACCCTGTGTCGCGGGTGCCACGAGTTGCCTAGGATTTTTCTTATTCTGTTTGCTTGTGCACAAGACGTGATGTTCCCGCAGTAGTCTCGCCATGACGCGGTGCTCCTATGCGCTTTTTTAGTTTGGATTTGGCCGTCTTGTAGTTTTCCCAGTCCTCATCCGCGCATGTGTTCATTGATTGCTCTATTGAAGCGTCTCCTTACCCTTCTTCGTAGCCTCTCAAGCTCAGGCCCCCACCAGTGTTGGCCTTGTCGCGGGGCTGAGTCACTCAGTGGGCATGCGGAGTTATAGCTGTTCAATATGTTTGATGTTAGTTCTTTAATCTGTGTTTCTATCTGTGCTGTGTCCAGCAGTCTTCCCGGTGTTCTCCGCTGGTTCTCCCAGGTGGGCAAAGTTTACGATCGGTTTTTCTGGGATTCTGTTTCGGTTGTTGTTCTTTAATAGCTGTTTCTAAGCTGAATCTTATCCATCTGTGGTCCGAGAAAGATGCTTCTTCGGACACGTGCCAGTTGTGGATAAGGTCCACTGCTCCTTCTGACGCTAGAGTTAGGTCTATAATAGTTCTACATCTTTTATTTATAAAAGTTGGTGCTATACCTTTATTAAGGATTTGAAGGTTAGTTGTGAATAAGTATTCTGTTAGGTTCTTACCTCTATCATTTGCGAGTTCCATGCCCCAAAACGGATGTTGGGCATTGGAGTCAGTAACCATGACGATGTTCTGGCCATTCTGCTCGCAGTAGTTTCCTGCGGTGGTGGCACATCAGTATCAACTTCAGGCAGGCCCGTGGCCGCGTCAGCTAAAAGCTTTACGGCACACAGGTCTCTGGAACAGAATTTAGTTAGTGGCTGTACATGTAAGTTATTAGAGTAATAATTGCAAGTTCTAGGTTTATCTGAGATGGTAGTCGATAGTAGCTTACCTCTCAGATATCCGCTCACGCGATACATGCAGCCGTAGACGCATACCACACCTAGAGGTGCCGGTGATGATTTTATACCGACTTATCGTATATCGAAATTATAAAAGGTAAAAGAACTAATATTAATTGCTATTTCGGTAACTACTCTAGCAAACCATAAAGTTTTTAATGCTTGGGTCTGTCATTTAAAAAAATAAACAACTTCAAAAATACGTCACGACCATCGTGTGTGTTAGTGTTTGGGCTGGTAATTTCGGTGTTTATTTATTGAAAACATACCGTAAGTAGCGTTTTTTAAGTTTACCCTGAATATAAATGTTTATAAACTATACTTTAAGGAGTAATTTCATGGTAAACGTTAGAACCACTCAAACGGAATATTATCACATTTATCCAAGTACAACAAAAATGTCATTAGTGTTTTTTAAGTGCAGGATTTGCGGTGTATTACTGCATTTTATTTAAGATGTTTTTGTTGGTAGTAAGGAGGGAATTTATTTAGCAATGCAGAGTAATAATTTTCTAAACCAAATAGCCGCCATTTTGCGGTAGGAGGAGCGCATCGCGTGAGCGGCTATGAGAGTCCATTTATTTGGCCACGGGCACTAATCCACGGTTCCTGGATTAGCGCCATGGCTGTGTTGTTAGCCTCCAACCACTTTCGGAGCTCAACCGTTGCGGCCTGACTGTGGTGGAGGTTGCTCTGGACGATGTGAAGTTTACTGAGCGAGTGGGAAACCGCCATCAGGAGATAACAGCTCCTCGTCCACGTCCTCGCTTAGTCGGATGTCTCCCATCCCCAACACGCACTCGTCATCACTACTGGTTGCCACCAGTTTGACAGCGGCGTCCGCAGAGACGGGGGTCAAGGAGAGTCCTTTACCTTTTCCGGGGATATCGGAGGAGGTGGAGGGCTCCGGGGAGACGTCCATCCGCGTCGCTGTTGTGCCATTCTTCTCAGGTGGCACATCGGTGTACAGGTGCCTCTTGGATCTGAAACTGAGGTGCCCAACTGGAAGGTTAGACTGCCGGCCATGCCCAAGGACAGCGGGGACGAGTTCTTCTGGGAGGCTCACCACTACGAAGGAGTGCTTACTATGCTGCTGCAGCTTGTGAACAACCCAGCGGTGTGCTTCCGTCCACGGGTTTTGCCACTTGAGGATGCGGCCGATTCGACGCGCATCCCCCTAATGACCAGGGATGAGTGGACCGCAGACCACCCTCCGAGGAGCCTCCACCCCATTTTTCAATGAGAGGGGCTCCCCGGATGGCAGCCTGATGGTGCTAATGGCATCCTCTAGCCACTGGAAAGTGGTTGTGTCCTGACACCACAGTTTCAGGGACCCGCCACTGTAGACAGGTTTACCTCGAAGATGTGGACCGACGTCCTCCTCGCTGCACTCCTCCGCTCCTTGCACGAGGCGCTGACATAGGACCATGTCATCCACCTGAACCATGTCGGCATCCGGGCTCCGCATGTAGCCAGTTTTGGCTGATGTGATCACTGCCATGAGTTCTGGCCTGGTAGCCTCGGCGCAGGTTCGATGCTGGGCGAGCCTCTCAACCTTGACACCCCACTTATCGGCAAACACACCTCAGCATAGGCCTCCCGATTCTGAACCAGAAACTCGTTGAGCAATACGATGATTCTGGTGATACAGACGTGCTCAAAATGCTAGGGCAAATAAGTTACAAGCGCGCCGCGTGCTGCGACAGCGCACGCTTGTATACTGATCAGGCACAAAATTAACTAGAGCAAGTTTTTTTAAGAGAGAAGTTCCACTTTTTGACGTAAAAATGGACAATAATGAGCAGTGTCTTTAATACCCGTCTTGGTTCCAGAGTCTGACGATCTATCATTCAAGGATGAAATAAGCATGGATGCAGAAATGGAATACACAGGTAATAATAACGCCACTCACACAGGTACCTAGCGAATTTGCGTTGGACGCGCTCAATTGGTATAATCTATACTTTTTTCACGAGGATCCCATGCAATCGCGCTATGTTCGAACTCTGTCGTCACCAAGTTGAGGCTCTATTCTTATTATAAATCGAGTATCCTGTTCGTACTTTTGCACTTGTTCATTATGTGATCACGCATCCCCCATCTGGTATCTAAAGTGAGACCTAAATACTGGATTGAAATACCTCGGTCATGTGGTGCATTATTAGATATTATGAAAGTAATGTACCTTACATTTCAGTGCATTAAGCGGTAATTGATTGATAGCACTCCATTCTGATACAGAATCGTCTACTCGTTGAAGTGCATAGCAGTCAGACTCATCTACTTGTAGATGTGCGTCCATACATCCGAACACGTAATAAAAAAGCAAACAAAATTAGTAGTAGTCGAATGTGCATTGTTAAATCCTAGCTGAGCGTTGTTCTGCAGATTATTAATTTTCCGAATGAGACAATCGTTTACACTTTCGATCAGTTAATTTCCCAGGGCCGGTGTGCTAACAGGTATATCGTTTGAACTTTAGGTATAGGGGTTACAATCGGTACTTCGATTTTGAAGGAAAAATTATCATTTTTAACCACAGATTAAAGATGTATAATGGTGGTTGTTCTAGCGCTGAAATGCAACTTTTTGCTAAAATCTTTTTACCGCGGTACGTGTACTCCTAGACCAGAATGCCTTTGTTCCTTACGAAATACCAAAACAACAAGAATCTTGCCGGATCTTGACATATGCTCTATTCGATAGTTGCTAGATTTTGTTTAATAGTAGCAGTCTAATCGAGCTTTGACGAAAGTCTTGTAATATTTATATAATTCATTATTGAATTCTAGGCTTAGTGAATATTTTTTTAGATTAAAGTATTCTAGTTGCGTAGAGATCTTCATATCCTTTCATTTCTCTATTCAATTCTGTTCTATCCCTTTACGCCTTCTTATCTTAAAGATCGCTTTACTTTCCACTCTTCTACACTCTGTCGTCCCCTTCACTCCTCTGATACTCTCTTACTTAACTTGTCCTCTCATACCTCTAACTTTTATTCCAACTCTTTTACCATTTCTGCGATCAGATTGTGGAATTCTCTCCCTGAATCGATTCGACGATCCCCTTCTCTTGATTCCTTCAAACAACGTGTCAAGGATCACTTCCTCAACTCCTAAATTTCGCCTGTCCTCTACTATCCTTTCATTTATTTCCTACATTTATACTTCATTTTTCTTTTTCCTTTAAAAGTATATAAGCGTTTAATATTATTGTGTATTTATTGTTATGTATGTATTAATAATATTATTATTATTTGTATGTATATGTATATCTATCTATGGATATGAATATATTTTTATTTAAGGTTGCCTGGAAGAAATTGCTACATAGCAATAAGGCCGCCTGTTGCACTTTGACTTACTACTTCTTTTATACTTAAGCTATATATTGTATTTGTATATTGTATATATTGCCTTTTGATTGCAATTTTATGTGCAATAAAGAATATTTCATTCATTCATTCATTCATTCATTCTAGTTGAATATAATGTACGAATATAACTTGTACCAAGATGGATATGTATAGCGATTTGTGGCAAAAAGGCACTTTTTAAAAGCACTTCCCGATTGATAGCTTCATACAAGTTTCCAAAAGAGACGTCTCAACGCTTGATGATCTGATTAAACATAATATATTCTCTTATCGTCAGATTCAGGAAACAATTCTGATAAACTAAACGACGCATTATATGATACTGGAGTAAAATCGAAGTTATTCGAACCTAAAAAATACACTCGCCTTGACTATAAGGGCCACGTACCAATATTCCAAAGTACATACAAAGAATTTGTTGAATTGATGAAAAAACCGATGGAGTACAAGCCATGGCTTACTATGAACACATTCGGAATCTTACAGGATGTAAATGAATCATTATTGAACGAGAAAAGTTCAGAAGATTATAAGAAAAATAAAAACAAGTTCATGAGTGACATACAACGAGGAGACATATTGTTAACTAACGGCAATGACAAAAAGGGTACACTTGGACTTGCAGCTTTAGTGATTGATAACCACAATATACTAGAAATGCTTGGCTATCAAACAACAATATCACGTATTCCATACGAAGGAATGACTAACAATTTAAGGGTTACTATAGAACATTTTTTTAGTCTCCATTTAAAGGATTGGATTTATATATACCGTTGTTCTAATTCAACTGATGCTAATTCTGCTGCCGTCTGGGCCCACCATTCCTATTACAATCCTAAAGGTTTATATGTGCAGACTGAAAATATTAGTTACGAAATTAATTCAGATTTTATGTCGACAAATCCAAGTTACAACTCAAAATTGGTTCTGCAAGCATATTATTTTGGGAGTGATGCAATAGACAAAAAGAACGTGCATAACAATACATTAGTTTTTCCAACTACAATTTCTAAATATTTCAAGGAGCCGTTGAAATATGTAGGAAAATATTAAAAATGTAAAATTAGGCCGAATAGTTGCAGAGCTATGTGATACAGTCCAACAAAAACATAGTATTTTCAAAGATGAGCTGAATACAAAATACCACACATAATATTTAATCCTTTATTTTATTGTAAATACGCACTATAATATTAATGTCAAATACAATTATGTAACGTAATACCTTGATTGTTATATTATAAAATGTTTAATTAAAATTCACCATTACACGTTCGACATTCTGGATTGCACAAATATCAATAATTTTATTTAAAAAGTCCTACTAAAACGAATTTGTTACTCATACACATCAACATTACATCCCTTATAAAAAAAATTTGATGCACTAGCAGCACTATATATTTTCTTCGAGAAAATATGTTGACATCATAATAGTAACATAAGCAAATATATCCGCATCACTCAGGTGCCTCTATAATATAAATGGCTATAACATGTTTTATAATTTAAGAAAAACACAAAAAGGTGGAGGTATTATCATATAAGTACACAAAGAACTTAATTGTGATGCAATAAAAACTCATTTCGAGGGAATTTACTTAAAAATCATATCACACACGTACGCATCGAATCTACTTGCAGTGTAACATCTCTTCATTAAAACTACAAAAAACAATTCAAATATTTGAATATTCTTTTTAAATACTTAATTACTCAATACACTAGAATCGAAAGTAAACGGAATGAAACAGTGAACAAATCCTGTATCGATCATATTTTTGTGCGATCCCGGCCACAAGATGTGTTCACAGCGGCCTTTGGTACAGTACTGGCGGATCACCGAGCGATTGCTTTGGTTTACTCGGAGCCACCTCGTATACAGGCTGTTCCCAAACGAAGAACGCATATTGACACAAATTTATTAAAAAAACAGTTAGACACGGTAGATTGGGGGAAAGTTAATAACATTGACTACCCTACTCTACTGAAATGTACAAAAAAAATAAATAACCGTCAACATTGAATTTCAACAACTCTAGTAGGAAAGTTTATTATAGTACACATGGTGTACCACCTGCTAAGATATTGATGAATATACTTACTGAAAAAGCTTGTCAAGCTTGATCAAGAGATCAGCTATTTATGAGGTGGATACGATACACAACTAATAAAACAATTAAACTGGAATACAATCGAGCAAGAAATTATACCAATAAGCTTATATTAAAACAGAAAAATGAGCACATTAAATCCACTATTATTAATAACAAAAACAACACTTTTAAAGTCAATAACAGGTAGAATAAAGCACTCCATTGATGAAGTCTTTTTGAATGCATTTGAATGGAACTGTGGGAGTCATTTAGATTTCGCAAACAATTTCGCGAGTCACTTTAAAGACACTATTAAAAGCATATTTCCACATTCTAATAATAATCTTTTAAATGTATAAGAATACAAAAAATCAGCCACTGTTACATTACGTTTCCAAAAAGTAACTAATACAGAAGTCGAGAAACTAATTCAGAGCATCAACAGTAACGAAGCTCCGGACATAGACAGAATACGGGCCATAGATTTAAAAAGGATCAGTGAGAAAATAACTGAAGCTATTGCAAAATTGATTAACTCTTGCATAAAACATGGCAAATATCCTCCGGAACTCAAAACTGACATAGTACGTCCAATTCATAAAAAGGGTTCTAAAAACGACTATGAAAAATATAGACCGATTACCATCCTTCCTGTAATTGATAAATTAATAGACAAATTCATTAGCAATCAAATTCTTACTTTCTATGAAACTAATCAGATACGTAACAGTAAACAGTACGGATTTTAAAGAGGAAAAAGTACCACTCAGTTGTTGTAGACTTTTATTGACGACGTCGATATGCACCTCAATCAAACCATCGATATGCATAAAAACACGTATTGGTTGCTTTTATTGACTACAGTAAGATATTTGACACCCTTCAACATGAAATGCTACTGGAAAAGTTAGATGACTGCGGGATCTGGGGGCTTATACAGGAATGATTACATAACCGAAAGAACCTTTTACGTGAAGGTTGGTGATGCCGCCAGTATGAAAGAATACGTTACACAAGGCACAGTGCAAGGGTCAGTACATGGACTATTGCACATACTCAAATATGCCTGCATTTAAAATTATTTACTACAAATTGCAATTGTAGTTGCATAGACATAGTCGATACTCAAATGTATCTGGGGTTAGTTGTTGATAGTCGGTTTAAGTGGATCTGTACGAAACTTAGAGCACTCTACGCCAAATTGTCATTAATTAAATACAAAATCCCCTGTCACATTCTGTTGACACATAAGTCCTTATGTGAGTGAATAATTGAACATGGATTGGGCAGCTATGGCAGAACGTTTAAAACTTACTTAGATCAAATTCATGAACTGCAACTTAGAATCAGGAAAACAATAGTACCTACATAAATTCAATAAGTTAGGTTGCACTGCAAAGTTACGCAATCCATGACAAAGTCAAGTACATGTTATTGATAGAACAATTTTTGTAACATCGACTTACAAAAAACATACTCCCATGATAAGCAAACCCGCGGAAAATCTAATGCTATGCTCATCAAGTGTAAAACTAGGAATGAGCACTATAAACAACAGATTAGTTATTGTATTCCCAATCGTATAAATGAATTACCAATGTCACTAATAAAATACCTTACGCGAAAAAAACATAAAATATAAACTTCAACAACACTTCATTAAAGATAAATAAACAAAAAAAAAACATAATATACAATCTTTGACTTAATTTTATTAATCTATCTTTGTCTTTATTCATTAACAAAGTATATCTAACTATTAATTAATTAACTATAAAAAATTAACACGTTAATAGAGTTAATGTATTGAATTTATTGACTCCAATACATTGATTCAACCTGTATAAGGAACACTAACACATACCCAGGAATTCGTTCTTTTGTTGAATTCAGTAGCTTCTTAGTTAAGTAATTCATGCATACATTGTGCGGACGAGTTCTTTACTCGACCGCACGCTTAAATTTTAAGAGTAACCTACCGTTGCAATTATGAATAAAAAAAATGTACTAGAAAAATAACTTAAGACGAGCGTAATTTTGTGAGTTGTGAGTCGCGTAGTTTGAGTTGCGTAGTTTGCGCTGGATTCGGTTTCATATAAAAGTACGGTTTGTTTCACACGACGACGCAAAATGAGTTAGTTATCTGCCGACTCACGGGCGTAATGACGACTGACTCTCGGTCGCATCGTGCGAAGGGCTGGCGCGGGTGGAGGGTGGAGTGAGGGAAGGGGTCACTATGGTATGAATACTTAAAAAGCAACTAAATAAAATACGTCCGTCTGGCGCTCCAACCGAATTTCGGTCGAGCGCAAATTGCGCAACTCAAAAAACGCAACTCACTACTCACAAAATTACGCTCGTCTGGCCGCACCCCAAGAGTTGTAAAACTAGAAGACGATGTACGGTAAAACCCAAAAGGGTTTACGTTACATCGCTTTAGTTCTTAAGCTAATTTATAATCTGTTTGTATAATATAATAAAATAAAATAAAATAAACGTGTGAGTGCGTTCCCCTTTGCAAGTAACTTGCATTCAAAGTCTTTTTTTTATTATTCTTTATAAGGCACTAATAAAGTACATTATACATACAATACAACCCAGCCAAATACAAGAGTAATTTAAATTTAATAAATAAACAAATTAAACAAAGAATTCACCCACTGGCAAATATCTTATTATCTATTAAGTGCGTGTATTAGTGATCAGTCATATAGATCAATCGTATACATGATTTATAACCCTTTTACTGACACCAGACTCTCACAATGTGCATAACAGTAACAAAACTCCGTATTTTAGCCATAAGTAAGCTTTGTGAGAGTATAAACTTTTTGTCACATCATCAGCTTACACGCATCCACTGCCGGACGTAAGCAATGTTGAGTACACCAATTCTCCTGGTCATGTAAATATTATGATTGCATGCATTGAGTTACATGGTAAATAACTTCACTGTAATGCCTCAATTAAAACCCTCGGGATTTATTTTTTTCATTACAGCCGTGTTCAGTATGGATTTTTTAAAATTTGTAGCACCGCATACTTCCTTCAGAAGGTTAGGTTCAAGTTCAAATAGCACCCATGAAGTCACTCAGACTTGCTTCAAATTATACTTGATGCTGTTATGAAACTGTCTCTAAATTAAAATAGTAGTTGGTTTACTGTTAGCGACAAATGTTAAAGATACTTTTATTTAAATACAGACCTTATCAGCAATTAATATAGGTTATTTTCAAACACAAACCTCTCTCGACAATAAAGCCCTTTATTTTCTTGTTTATTGTAATAATTGAAAGTAGACAGATTGGTTTTATGGATTTATATACCCAAAAAGTCTAATTAAGATATTGTACCATCAAGTAGGTAAATAAATGTTGGTTAATAAATCTGGTTTGAAAACGTCTCAAAAAACTTGTACTTGGATGGCTGGAATGTGGCCATTTGGTCACATTTGATATCTGGAATACATTTTATTCTCGATATCAAATGTGACTTGAAAGTTATCAAAGAAATTTTGAAAGTTACGCGCCATTTTCCGTCGCGGTGTCGAACGACTGAAAAGTGTGTATGCTTCACGTGCTTCAGTTTCTTTTTGTACACGTTGCTTGTAGTTGCTAATTGGTAAATGGTTTTCATTCAAAATACGGGTATAATTTACCAAAGTCAATTAAATTGTCAATAAAGAATTATTCCTGTTGTCCAAATAACGTTCAGAGATACCCAAACAAGCGCCATAACCGCAATTTTCTCAGCAGTTTTTATAATTGGGTGGATCAACTATTTACAGTAAAACAGTGTCCTTGTTTTTTAAAAAACCATAAAATGAACAATGTGTACTTAAAGGTCGGCTTTGAAGCTTGGTAATCGAATCAGATTGTGTATAATTACGACTGTTTATTAAAATGTTTCAAATTCCAAAATAATTAATTTGAATGTGACCCAGTAGTCAAAACATAGATGTCATACAAATTCCACCTGTCCCCAAGACATACAGCACAATGAAACGACGATGTTGTCTAAGATTTTTCCTCCACTTGTCTTGTATATCGGTATAGTGCTTTAATATACATGCATTTTAAATCTTGATTTGCGACAGCTTAGCAGATTTAGTTTTCAGTAGAAAAAACACAGTTTGAATAGTTGTCCCCTTTTTAACAACAAAGCGCATTGTCGCCTGGGTCACAATAAAGATAGTATCAACTAAGTGAAAGTGAGATAGACTGTATATAGCTAAGCCGATAGGAAACGGATCTACAAATCGTATGATCGAGCTTTACCAATCCTTAAGTTTATATGGATTCGGCCATTTAGCCCGTAACTCGCAGCGTGACAGCGTGTGTTTATTGTGCGTCTCCGGAGTGACGATGAAATTTCGGTAAGTAAATAACTTTTTCTACAAATTTTATTTTCATATTTGGATATTGAAGTCTGAAATGCTTTACCTGCATGTGTTACGATATTTTCATAAAAATTGTTGAAGAAAAATAATTAGAAATCGTAGTTTGCCTCCTGAATGACACGAAAACTGTGACTCAAGAGACAATTTTGGTGACCCCAACCCCCAAGTGATGTTCTGTACTAAAGATTCCGTTATAAGTAAATACAAAACATAATTAACTAAAGAGCCAATTATAAATGAAAATTTAAACTTAGCAAACGGAAATTCTAATGGTGTTTTTGAAATTTTAGTTTATATACCGATATTTCAAAAATATACTCAAACTGAATCGAACTTTAGATATTTTTAGTATTTTATTTAGTAGAAAGCTAGAGCTTCTGTTAAATGAACGTGTCTCAAGCACAAATTCATTATACATTTTTTAAGCAATTATTTTTTTATTTACATACAAATTTAA